TCCCGCCGGTCCCGGGCGGAAAGGGGAGGGGGAAGGAAGGGGGGAACGGGGCGCGCGCTCCCGTGAGGCGAACGCGGGTGCTCGCCGCTGCCGCAGGGAGCCTGGCGGGTCCCGGCGGGAGAGCGCTTCCTCAGCCGGGCGCGAGCTCGGGCTCGGGTTCCGGCCCCGCTGTTGCTACTGCTGCTGCTGCCGCCGCCGCACGTGACGCTGCCAATCAGCCCCTCGCCGCGCTCTTAAAGGTGCAGCGCGGCGCTGGGCGGGGCTTAGCGGAGCGCGAAGGGGCGGGGCTCCGGTTACCCGCTCCCGCCCGCCGGTCTCTGGCCGGTCTCCTCAGCCACCCGCCGAGGGAGGGAGACGGCCCGAGGCCCGCAGAGACAGTGAGGAGCGGGGAGGGCACCGGGCTGAGGCGTCGCGACCGGGAGGGTCGGTCGGCAGGCAGGCAGCGGGACGCCCTGCCCTCCGCGGCGGGGATAACGGGCGATGAGCCCCCCCCCCACCCCCCAGCCCCTCTCCCGGGGCCCGGCTGGGTCTGAGGGAGGGGCGCGCGCCCGCCCCTCAGCGCCGGCGCTGCCCGGCCTCGGCGCTCTCCCGCCGGGGAGGAGGGCAGCCCGGCCTGGCTCCCGGGTGGCCCCGGCTCTCGCCGGCCCGTCGTCGCCGACTCTTGGTGCCTGGAGGGCCACCGGGCCCTCGCAGGGCCTGGAAGGCTTCAGCAGCACAAGCCGCAGGAGGTCGTGGCCAGCCACCAGAGACGAGTTGTTAACAACCCAGCCCGTGTCCCCCAAGCTTTTTCAGCTTTTCCCCAGAGGGAGCAACTTTAATAATTGGTGGAAGCAGGCAGGAGTTGATACAGTGTATCAGCCAGTGGTGAAGGAAATAGCGCAGGACTGATGACGATTTTAAATATTTATACAGAAAGGAGCACCTCCTGATATAAGGGTAATTATAGCCTCTCTCTCCTCTCCAGGCAACGCTGGAAAACGTACTAGCACACTCCTCACTGCTGCAGACCCTTCCCAGCCTTACCAGCCACAGGTTTCCAGAGCTTTTGTTTGTTTACAGAAGCCAAAGTCCCACTCCCTATAAAATTGAAGCAGAAATGGACATAGACAAAAAGCATCCCATCGTGCATACAGCCATTTGGGAGCAGCTCGGTTTGTTGAAAGAACATCTTCAGTATATCTTGAAAATTAACAGTGCATGCAAGTAAGTAGTTTTACATAGTACTGGAAAACCAATTTTCTCATCTTTTTATTTATTTCCATCTACGCTTCTTTATTAAAAGAATGATCTTGGTTTTTTAAAATGTCTCTAGACAGCCTTTATATTATTTTGAATGCAGGTTAAAATTTTTCTTTCAAATATAAGGTCTGACCTCTGATGTTGCTTTTTTCTTTTAAGTACACTTAAATAGTATAGGAACAATGTGAATTGAACTGAACTCTATTTGATTTGATAATAGATGCTAGTATCAATTAACATTTTCCCCAGGACAGCTATGCAAAAGGACGCACTATGCTTTCCTGGCTACAGATCCCAGTTTTGAAAATGCTATACCTTGTGAATGGCCTACAGCTTCCAGTGTAGCACTGTCCTGCCTAATTCTTGTATGTAGCAGTCAATGCCATTGGCAGAATGCTAGTAATGCTAGTAATTCAGATCACTCCTGCAGGTACTGGGCAAGAGAAGGGTTTAAATGGTTTCTCAGCATTTTAATAAATGTATCTCTTTTGAATTATTTTCTCCTTGATTTTCCCATAAGCACAATGTCACATATTTTCAAAGGCATATCAAACATAGACAGAAATGCAGTACAGACATGGATTGGTCCACGGCTTGTTTCCTAGCAGAACAACGTAGTGCTGTTTTCTCACTCATAAATGAAATACATTTATAGTGCCATAAAATGAAGCCGAGCCCAAGTAGAGAAGGCATTGTGAAATTTCAGGTAGAATGAATGGACAGCAGAGCTGTGATTGCAATAGGACATGTTTTGTGTCTCTGTTGAAAGCTCCTGGTGTGCAAAGAAAGTTGTGTCTTTCTTTCAGTTTTACCTGCCTAAAGGGAAGGGTGAGGAGCAGTAAGAGCCTCAGGTTTTTCAAATGCTCAGCTCAGTAAAATCCTTGCTGCGCTTTCTCCTGGAGAGACGTCACTCTGTGACCCTGCAAGAAAGCTGGCAATTGACAGCTAAAAGTGATTCCTGAGTTTTGCTCTCCTCTGTCTCTTCCCTGCCTTGCAGTAGGAGCAGGGCAGAGGGACAGTAGTTAGATAAAGCATTACAAGCAGCAGGCATCTTAGTGGCAGTAGCTGCAGCATTCCTCTTTTCACAGAGAAATGTGTGAAGCCTTAAGGAAAAGAGAAATTTGAGAATTATTTGGGGCCAAGATTTGCTAAGATGGGAGGTGAGACAGATTTTTGACAAGTTAACCCTCCTTAGGTCGAAGGATCTCTTTTAGCTTTCAGTTGTGCACACCTGCCTGCCTGAAATATTTTGTCGTTGTTTTCTGGACAGTGCAAATGAATGCCTCAGGCAGTGCTACCATTCCTTCATTTCATTGTGTAAATGTAAGCATTTGACTTTTATATATACATTGACTTAATTATCTGAGAAACCCATAAAGATTTTAACTAAGATGATTAATATTGTCTTGTAAGAACAAATTATAATCAATATGAAAATGCCAGTAAGAAAGATGTCCTGCCCCTTGCTATGGACTCCACCCACTCAGAATGGTTCCATGAACAATTTACTTGGCATTTGTCACACAACAGGAGAGTGAGAATCTCTAGCTGGGGTGTGTGAACTAGCAGCTGAGGGCAGAGATTTCTAGAATGGGTCTGTTCTGTCAGTGGCACATCCATTTTAGGAATTTCCCTCCCCTGCCAGAGGTTTCTGCTTCCCTTTGTCATGTCAAATCAAGAGTTCCTTTGGATGCACTCTAGCTGGGAGCACTGAAGCCTCTGCTGACAGAGAGCGATGGACTACTGGGGAGGTTAGTCTCTTCAACTCACAAATGAAAAGATTTACTAGTTATTATTAAACTACCTACCACTGAACAGCACTACTTTTGTATCAGCCTTGCGTGCAAGGTTTTGGTAGCGGAGGGGCTACAGGGGTGGCTTCTGTGAGAAGCTGCTAGAAGCTTCCCCTATGTCTGACAGAGCCAATGCCAGCCGGCTCCAAGATGGACCCACCACTAGCCAAGGCCGAGCCCATCAGCGACAGTGGTAGCGCCTCTGTGATAACAGATTTGAGAAGGGAAAAAAAAAGTTGCGTCAGCACAGAAACTGCAGCCGGAGAGAGGAGTGAGAACATGCGAGAGAAACAACTCTGCAGACACCAAGGTCAGTGAAGAAGGAGGGGGAGGAGATGCTCCAGGCGCCAGAGCAGAGATTCCCCTGCAGCCCGTGGGGAAGACCATGGTGAGGCAGGCTGTCCCCCTGCAGCCCAGGAAGGTCCACAGTGGAGCAGATATCCACCTGCAGCCCAGGGAGGACCCCACGCTGGAGCAGAGGGATGCCTGAAAGAGGCTGTGCCCCCATGGGAAGCCCACGCTGGAGCAGGCTCCTGGCAGGACCTGCGGCCCCACAGAGAGAAGAGCCCACGCTGGAGCAGGTTTGCTGGCAGGACTTGTGACCCCGTGGGGGACCCATGCTGGAGCAGTCTGTGCCTGAAGGACCGCAAACCATGGGAGGGACCCACACTGGAGCAGTTTGTGAAGAACTGCAGCCCGTGGGAAGGACTCACATTGGAGAAGTTTGTGGAAGACTGCCTCCCGCGGGAGGGACCCCACACTGGAGCAGGGGAAGACTGAGGAGTCCTCCCCCTGAGGAGGAAGGAGCGGCAGAGACAACATGTGATGAACTGACCGTAACCCCCATTCCCCATCCCCCTGTGCTGCTGGGGGAGAAGAGGTAGAGAAAACTGGGATTGAAGTTGAGCCTGGGAAGAAGGAAGGGGTGGGGGAAAGGTATTTTAAGATTTGGTTTTATTTCTCATTATCTTAGTCTGATTTGATTGGTAATAAAATTAAATTAATTTTCTCAAGTTCAGTCTGTTTTGCCTGTGACTGTAATTGGTGAGTGATTTCTCCCTGTCCTTATCTCGACCCATGAGCCTTTTGCTATATTTTCTCTCCCCTGTCCGGCTGAGGAGGGGAGTGATAGAGCAGCTTTGGTGGGCACCTGGCACCCCAGGGATGGGCTACTGGGGACATTAGCCTCTTCAACTCACAAATAAAAAGACTTACCAATTGTTATTAAACTACCTACCATTGAATAGCGCTACTTTCAAACCATTCTTTGAAAAGATTGTTTTCTCTCTCATACAACGTTTCTCCATTAGTGTATTACTCATAAGAGTTATGCTACAAAACATGTGACTAAAGGACTTCAAGAAATGAGAAATCTTATTAAATGTTAACATTCAAGACACAGGCAAGAGCTTGATTTTGGAAGGTACTGAGCATCCAGTCTAGAAAAGCATTTAAGTGTATGCATGACTTTAGATGTGTAAATTAAATATGTTTCATCAGACATTAACATCTTTTGAGATGAGGATGTGTTTCAGAACTTTTCTGGTTTAAGACTAGGAAGTGAACTTATCAGTGGGTCAAAACATAAGCCTTTATTTTTGCTCCCATCTCTTTCCTCTATTTCTGGGCAGTCAGCACTATCATTTGCTAAATACTTATCATTGCCACTTGCAATATCATCTCTGTTCTGCATGCATTTCCCAAATAGTTCAGTGTTGTAGTGCAATGCATAGGTTTGCCATTAAAATAATTCAGAGCTCCCTGCAGGGATTTCAAGGGCAGACTTTGTTTTGCCCTTGTTCACACTTTGATCAGGGCTTTTTTTCCCTTGGGTAGTTTTCTGTTTACATTCAGTGTGTTTTCCATAGATTCACAGCAGGGCAGTGTTTTCATGGGCCTGTCAGCTTTAGTTAGCACAG